AGCTTGTTGCTATCTCTCCTTCACTGTTGGAGTGCAAGAGAGATAGACAACAATCGCTCGATTATCTAGCTTCTATCAGTCTCTAATAGATCAATCATGACTCTGATACAAAATGATGAACCATAAATCACAATTCCAAGTTTTTTTTTTTGTAACTCACAAGCAAGAGTACAAATTAAAGTGTAAGAAACTGTTATATTTGTTATTTGATTGATTTATTCCTGACTAATGCCGAACTTACATTTATATAACACGTAAACTCTACCATATAAACGTAGCCACATAAACCGTCAAATTGAGATTGAAGAAATTTTGCGTCGACACAATGCTAGGGTGGATTGAGTGGCTCATTCATTAGTTAAATCATCTCTCATAGAGATTGGAGAACTATAGATTCATATATCAAGAGCTAATTGGGTGATCAGTGGGGATTAAAACACTTGTTTTTTCCATAACAACACAGTTATTGTCGGAAGCACAACATGACTGTTGGCCTTAAGGACGCGGAAGTTCAATGGATTATCTAGATCGCCTACAAGTTATGGATATAGACTTCTTTTTCAAGATTTACACAAGGGAGGCAAGAGATGACAACCACTCAATTTCACCTGAATTCCCCATTGTTGAGGGTGATATGATGTTAAGATTAAGCACTATCCCTTGCTTGGATGAGATTAGAACAACAGTTATAAACATGAATGGTCGGAAAGCCCTCGGAAAGGCCATTTTCATGCAATTTTTAACCGAAAAATCTAGGACTATATTGGTGAAGACTTATTTAATTTCGTTAGGTACTGTTTCAGGAATCCAGATACAATTCAGAGTATTAACAAGACAATAGTGGTATTGATTCCAAAAGTTGCAACACCATCATCCATGAAACAATTTAGACCAATTAGTCTTTGCAACGTGACGTCAAGGTGGTGGCAAAGAGCTTAGCAAACAAGCTTAAGAACTTGATGCCACACCTTATCCATCCTAATCATTCAAGCTTTGTCCCAAAATAAATATTAATGACAACAATCATAATTTTCTAGTGGCGGAGCCAGAAATTTGAATGAGAGGGGGTATGCATGCATCGTGACAATTGGCGGAAAGAGAGGAGCCAAGAACTTATCGACTACTCTTTTTCCTTGAGTTTGTTAAAAAATTTACATGTGATTTTATCTATATTTTAAATTTAAGGATGGCTACAGCCCCTCATCGCTTCATCCTACCTCCTCCACTATCATTTGTAGGGAACGGTCCATTCCGTCCAAGGAAATAGAGAGCAAAGGACAGATGCTACTAAAAGCTAAACTGATCAAAGTATATGACTGCATCAATCAGTAATTCATGGAAGACACTTGTGGAGGGACATGTTCCACCTGACTGTATTCGACTTATTATGGCTTGTATGGTGATAACTAGGTTTCAAATGATATGGATCATAGCGGAGACGAAAAGCTTCAGTCTCTCAAGAAGATCAAGACATAGATGTCCACTCTCCCCCTATCCTTTCATTTTGTGTATGGAAAGATGTAGTCATTGTATCATAGGAGAAGTCAAGAATAATAATTGTATACCTATGGAACTATTTGTAGGAGGTATAATAATAAGAAGTAGTCATTTTGTGATAGGCTTGGCATCCAAGCAACTCGTGACCTAGGAAATAAGTAGGTGTGTCAGTTTTTCATGGTACGATGACTAGGAATACATACACGTACATTTTAGAGAGTGGATAATAAACTCTCATCTAAGAAAGCTAGAACCCTATACTTTCTGGTAGGGTGACCCTTGTGTTTAATGCAATTCTCAACTATGCTATGCAGAATACCATGCTTCATGCATCTGTCTCCAATGTTAGTGGTAAGAAAATTTAGGGTTTTGTCCGGGTCTCGAGTGAAGGTAAAAGGAAAACCCATCTAGTGTCCAACACTATCTACAAACTGATAGGTCAAGGGGTCTTGGGCTTCAGCTCATAGTTTGAACATGCCATACATGATCAAACTTGTGTTGCAGTTAATTAACAATCCCTCAAATCTATGGGTGCATGTGTTACAGGTGAAATGCTTCAAAACAAGGATGGAGCTATTACATCGGATAAGAAATGTAATCATTCAAGTCTTTGGAGAGCAATTGTGAAGGCTCTCCCACTCTTGAAGAGTTGATCATGTTTCAGCATCAGTATCACCAAGCTTCTGGAATGACCCATGGTTACAAAATGGAATCACCCTCAACAGCTTCCTAAGTTATGATATTTCTGTCAGGGAGAAGGTTTTTGTTGCGGAAAATTGGACTAATGGGAATGGTGAGTGGGACTGGGTAGATTAAAGGACCTCCTTCCTAATTATTTTCTTGCTATGATTGCACGAATAAAGCCACCCGACCAACAATTAGGGGAGGAAATAACCATCTGGGTCCTTGAACATGATGGATGCTTCAGGTTGAGGTATGTATACACACTTGCAACTAGGGCTGGTATTCGGTATAACCAAGTACCGAACTGTTTACCATCGGTATTCGGTATACTGAATACCGGCGGTATCGGTATTTGGCTGCAATATTTGGCCAACCGGTATACCAGATACCGACCAGTAATATACCGACGGTAAATCAGTATATCGAATACCGAATCACAAAAAATAATAATAATGAGAAACGACAGCGTACCGGATTGGGGCTAAGTGCAAACCCTAAATGAAATCGAGCTCCCCTCCCCGCTGGCCGCTGCACACCGCGCTTCACACCTCCTCTCGCTGATTCTCTTCTCTCTATCTCGAAAGGCGAAACCCAGCACGCCACGCTCCACACCTCGTCTTCCTCTTCTCTTCACCAGCCAGCAACCGCAATCTCCCAACCCGACCTCGCCGCAAAGGAATACGTCGAGAACCATAGCTCTCCCCGAGCGAGTCTCATCTTTGACAAACCCTCCTGATCCGTCGGCTTAAGCTCCTTCCCATCCGCCGGTGGCAACTTCTCTGTTTTGGTTAATTCCTGTCCCAGCGGCGCGTGATCCCTTGGACGATCAGGCGACAAGGTTAACTCTGTCGTCGCCTTGAGAGCCATCTTCTCAGGGATCGTCGCCCCACTTGGATCCGCAGCTTCCTCTTCGTCCAGCCATCGATCCGCCAGCACCTGTTCCCCTTCACCAAGCCCCTGTCTTCCTCATCTCTTCTCTTCACCAACAACAGATTCGAGGGCAGAGGCGCAAAGCAGCTGGTGTCGGCGATCTTTTTCGACCATCGTTTCTTCCCCATTCTCCCCGACGGCTGAGGCTGTTGTGAGGTGGATTTCAGGCGATCTTTTTCGCCCATCGTTTCTTCCCCATTCTTCCCCAATTTCTGTTAAATGTCCTCTCAATGTACTTACCTGGTATTCGGTATACCGGTATTAATACCGGATACCGACTATTCGGTATTCGGTATACCGATTAACATTCGGTATCGGTATTCGGTGGGTACACTGTCTGTTTTCGGTATACCGAATATCGAGTAATCGCTATCCGGTATACCGGATACCGACCGACTACCAGCCCTACCGGCCGCTAAAGTAGAGGAGATTGAGGCAGGAAAAATTTGGAAGAAGCTTTAGAAATGAAAGGGTCCAAGTCGGGTTAAGCACTGTCTTTAGCTCGTGTTTTATGAGCGCTTGCTGACAAATAAGGAGCGAGCAAAGGGAAAGATGGTGGTTATCCGTTGTTGCAGTCATTGCAAGGGTATAAAGGAATCAAACGATCATGTTTTACATAGCTATAAGAAAGCACAAAACATTTGTAGGAATGGTATTGAGAAATTGGTGGAAATAAACTTCACTCTCCCATCAAAGACCGGTTGTTGACTAACCTTATGGATGAGGAAAAGGGTGTCGACTTCGGCATTGTTTGTTGGCATCTGTGAAAGCAAATAAGCGAGGAAGTCATTGAAGGAAAAAGTTTCTCGAAACAAGGAGTTACGTGCAGGATCCATACATGGTTTAACATATTAGGCAAACCAAAGTATACGTAAAAAAAACTACAGGTAAAGCCACCAGAGTTACGTACAACATAAATATTGGTTGATAACCTCCGAGGGTAGAGTGGGCTCAAATACAAACAGATGGATCAATGCATTAACTCTGGAGAAGTTGCAATGGGTGGACTATTACGCAACCACCTTGGAAGATCCTGCAAAACTTTCGTTTGTAACTTGGGAAGATGTTCTATCACATGTGTTGAACCGAAAGGTGCAATCAAAGGGCTAGCAATGACATAGAGTGAGGTATACAAAAAAGATGAAACTCAACCTCGACTCAAATACTACAATTGTAATCATCAAGAACTGTTATGACAACAATCACTTGCATTGGTTACTTGCTAGTTATGCGGGACATCTTTTGAGCCACGATTGAGAGATAATTTGTTACTCACTTGTATAGAGACTCGAACTTTGCAGCCGACTATCTCGCTGATACGAGTCATTGTTCCTCTTTTGGCACACATCTTTCGATGTATGCTACCTAGAACTTAGGCAATGGTTGCATCATCCTATAATAGGAATCCCCACTAACGTTCATGTATCATATATGATTTTGGTGCTTAAGCCCAAATCTTTCTGTAAAAAAAAAAAGAGATTGGAGCACTTCGTTTGGTTTTGGTGATTGTTTGTTGGGGATAGTTACAATGCATGTATTGTCTACAATGCATTGTTTTTTTAATTTTTCTGCACAAACAATACATGTATTGTTTGCTTGATTTGACACAAACCATCACTCAAAATGAGTGATAGTTAAATATCCAGTTTTTTGTGAAATTGTTGAGATTGTTTGGTGGAGATTGTTGTGTTATTTTTTCTTCCAACTATGTTCCTACTTTTTTATGTGTTACTTTTTAATATTAAAAACAAAGGATAAAAGTGACTTTTCACCCAAAAACTAATATAACTTGTTTAAATACTACAATAACTATCATAGAAAACAAACGATATAATCTACAATACACCAATTTTCTTATATACATTCATATTCATATTCATATTTCTGCTGCATAGGTCCCTATGGTAATTTCTTTCTTCGGTTGGTGGAATAAAGTCTCTGTAAAAAAAACCGAGTACTGGAGAGAGCTAGTAGTTTGTTGGGTTTTTTTTTTTTTTTTTTTTTTACCACCCGCACCTTTCGTACAAGTCTATAACTCACTCGCCTCGCCAGTAGAGTGTACTAGTACTCTATTTTGTTTCAACATTCTCTTCAGAATACTTTGCCTTTCTCCCACCCGCAGTAGCTCGTACTCTCTCCCAACTCCCAAACTACACCTTCTCATTAAATCCCATTTCCCCCCTTCTTCTTCTTCTTCTTCTTCCTCTTCTCTCCCCCTCTCCATCAAACTCAAACTCACACACCACAATCCCTCATTATTATCCCCCAATCCATCTCTCTTCTCCCCTTCAACAATCTCCAACAAAGTAAGCGGAAGGTGAAAAGGGGGGAAAAAGGGGGAGAATAGAGTGCTGAGCAGCAGCTGCTGCTGCATTAATTTGTTGTACTACCTTCCTCAGTCTTCTGTTCATTGAAGCCGAGGGGGAAACACAAAAGAAATGCTCACCAACACCAACTCCAGCTCTAATAACTCTCTTCTTCTTCTTCTTCCTCACTCCCTCCTTTCGGTTTCTACTGTTCTTTCACTAAACCCTCGTTCCCCATAAATTAAATTAAAAAAAAACAGAGCATTGTTTTCTTTTCCAGCTTGTTACCCTCTTCCTTCCTTGAGATTTGCGTTGCTGCCTGCCTTCATTGTGGGTGTTTCTTTTCTACCCAGCCCGCCATTTACCATTCTGAGCAAAACCCAGATAATATTAGGCCTTACTCTTAGAAAGTCCGCCTTTCAATTTGCCGTCTATTGCCCGCTCCAGTGAACTTTGCACTTTTCCTCTTTGAAGTGCTTATATATGAATTTCACGAGACAATGAGAGATGAGAACTCGAAGAAACCCAAGGTTCGGTTTCCTGGGTTGATCCAGAGATGCTAAGTTGTTTTGGTTCTGTTCAATTTGGATGCACATTTGGTGTTTGTGAAAATTTCTGACCTGAAAGTTCATGATCTTAATGAAGCTTTCATGGCCCAAGACACTGGTCAAGAAGTGGTTCAATATAAGGAGCAAAGCTGAAGAATTCCAGGCGGACGATGATAGTTGCCATTATGCAGCAGGGGGAAGAGAAAGAGATACAGAAGGTGTTTTTTTCTTCTTCTCTTAATTGGCTGCTTCGATTGTTTTTTTTCTTCTTCTCGGTTTCGTGTCTGGTTGATCCTGTTTAGGATTTTGGGGAACCTATTAGTCATTTATATCCCAAAAAGCGACAACAAGATTCTTTTTCTCCTCTTCTTTTTGACTGCTTCCATTTCTGCTAGCAGCGAGCTGTAAGATCTGTTTTTTCTCTGCTTCCTCCCTATCTGTTTTTCCCCTGCTTCCTCCATACTCGTGTCTTAATTACAGCTACCCAGCCATTCTTAATCACTAAGTAAGAAACAAAGGAGAGGGAGAAAAAGAAAGAAAGAAAGAAAGGAAATGCAAGTATCTTATTGCTTCCTCTCATCGAGTTCTGAGAATCCATGATGGATGCATTGGCAATGAGCAAACTGGAAAAGGGCTCAGCTTTAAAAACCCCACTTTAATTTTTGGGTGATTCTTTCTTTGTTCTTTTCCAGGTGGTGATGAAGATTGGGGAAGCAACTTCAGAGAGAGGGAGGCAGCTATAGCAGCATGCACCATCAAGAAAAGCAAAGCAGGTAACCAGTATCCATCATCACCCATTCCTCCTTCTCTGAATCCCCAAGCCCCAAGGATTTCCTACCTGGACCACTTCAAACTTTTGAAGGTGAAAGAGAGAAGAAAAGAAGAAAAAAGGAAAACCAAAAGAAACAGAGAAAGACCATCTCTCCCTCTCCCACCCACACACAAAAGCCCCACTTCCCTTCCCTATGATTAATTGTTATTTTGTTTGTGTTTGAAACTTTTGCTTTTTTGGGTGTATCTTCTCTGCTTTGATTTGTCTTTTTTCAAACAGAAAACCCCATTCGTGTCTCCAACGCTGTTCTTTTTTTTCCTGATGCAACAGAGAGGTTGAGTAAGAGGGGCTCTGATCGAAGAGTCAGGCGAAGTAGAAGTAAAATTGACATTGATGCTGCTCAAGTCACTGAGGTTAACAATTATAGGTGAGTTTTCAGATTTCATTATAACTCCATTCTGGGTAAAAAGGAAGTAACTTTTGTTTGCTTCTTTCAATTTCCTGGCTGTAATTATTATTGAACGATCAAAAATGAATGCAGGGTTTTTGTTGCAACTTGGAATGTTGCTGGAAAATCTCCTCCAAGCTACTTGAGCCTTGACGACTGGCTTCACACTTCACCTCCAGCTGATATTTACGTTCTTGGGTAATGACTTTTCCTCTGTTTATTTCTTCCCCCATTCTTTTCCTCTGTTCCTCTAATTGACTTTTCTTTTTTACTTTTTAATAATTCCAGGTTCCAAGAAATCGTACCTTTAAACGCCGGTAATGTTCTGGGCACAGAGGACAATGGCCCGGCGAGGAAATGGCTGGCTCTCATTCGGAAGACTCTCAACACCCTTCCCGGCGATACCGCCGCCTGCCGCACTCCTTCCCCAATTCCCGATCCGCTCGTGGAATCTGACGCGGACTTCGAGGGGTCAACGACGAGACCGAATGCGGCCTCGTCGTTTTTCCACCGCCGTTCTTTCCAGTCGTTGAGCCGGAGCATGAGGATGGACGGCGGCGGCGAAATGACGGTGCCGCAGCCGAGGCTTGATCGGCGGTTCAGTGTCTGCGACCGAGTAATGTTTGGGCAGAGGAGGAGCGATTATTATGACCCGAATTTGAGATGGGGTTCGTCGGACGATGAGACGAACGGCGCAGGGGACTGTTCCCCTGTTACGGCACATTGTTCCCCTGTTGATGATTGCTACAGTGGGTTCTCTGAAGATAGGGAAAGGGCAAATTATGGGCAGTCGTCGAGGTACTGTTTGGTTGCTAGCAAACAAATGGTTGGGATTTTCTTAACTGTTTGGGTGAGGAGCAATCTTAGAGATGATGTTAAAAACATGAAGGTGTCTTGTGTTGGGAGAGGATTGATGGGTTATCTGGGCAACAAGGTAAGAAACCAACTTTTCTTTTCCGCCTCTTGTTTTTCCTGGCTCTATGATTGGAAAGTTTGAGGCTTTTTAGGGTAGAAGGAAAATGTTGTCAAGAAAACTCATATGTGACTCTGGGGGCTGGTTCTTTTCAGGGCTCCATTTCAATTAGCATGTCATTGCACCAGACAAGCTTTTGCTTCATCTGTAGCCATCTAACTTCTGGGCACAAGGAGGGAGACGAGCTGAGGAGAAACTCAGATGTTATGGAGATCCTTAGGAAGACCAGGTTTCCAAGAGTTCAAGGCATGGGAGATGACAACTCTCCTCAGACTATCCTAGATCATGAGTAAGTTTTCCCCTCCAGTTTGCTGAAATTTCATTCTCTTAGCTAAACCCTATTCGACTAATGCTTTAAATTCCCGTGTTTGAATGCAGTCGGATCATATGGTTAGGGGATTTGAATTATCGAATTGCCTTGTCGTATCGGTCGGTGAAGGCCCTAGTAGAGATGCGCAACTGGAGGTTATTGCTAGAGAATGATCAGGCATGGTTTTGCTTTCTGTACTCATAGTTACTTGTGTGTTTTCCTTCTCAAATATGTTATAATTGGATCAAATGCTCAATCTTTGGTGTTTCTATTGGGAACTTCAGCTTAGGATGGAGCAAAGGCTAGGGAGAGTGTTTGAGGGATGGCATGAAGGGAGAATATACTTCCCTCCAACATACAAATACTCGAATAACTCGGACAGATATGCTGGTGATGACAGGCACCAGAAGGAGAAGCGAAGAACTCCTGCTTGGTAATTATTAAGTTTCTCCTATTAGCTAGTCTGTTCATGCATGAAAGATTGAGCTGTTTATGTTTTGCCTTTTCCCCCCCAAACTTTTGGTAGGCAAAGAACTTTATCAGGTCAAATTTGTGCACAATGTAGGTGTGATCGGATTTTATGGAACGGAAGAGGACTGAATCAGTTATCTTACGTTCGTGGTGAATCAAAGTTCTCGGATCACAGGCCGGTTTACAGCATTTTTCTTGCTGAGGTGGAGTCGATAAACCATGGTAGAATCAAGAAAAGTATTAGTTGTTCAAGCTCCAGAATTGAGGTGGAGGAGCTGCTGCCCCACTCACATGGATACTCATACACTCAACTCAATTACTTTTGAGAGAAGGGGGATTTCCATGGTCCATCCAGAACGCTAAATTTATCATGAGAACAATTAATGCCTGATCATCAAGGTAATCTTTCTGATGGATCCTTGGTTTACAAATCAGCAAAGTAACTTAGTATGCGTTCTGCATCTTGTAGGCAAATCAAGTCTTCAGGGGCAAATCCATTTCTCTTGTATTTATTTGCCTACCGCTAGAACATGCATGCAACCCAAACTAAACCCGAAAAAGCTAACCTAGTATGCATTCTGCATCTTGTACGCAACTCTGAGATGTTTTGCTTTGCTGGACACAGGTGGCTGTTACTTGTTGCTGCATCTGATAATGTTTGCTCTTGCCATGGAATGGTGATGGAGCCTTTGGGAAAACCCGAATCGGAAGGTAGGAACTTTATCGCTTTCTTTTACAATATCTCAGCTGCCTGCATTACTACTTCCATGTATATCATGCCCTTTGTAAATGCTCAATGCTCCCACTGACAACATCCATTCATTTCCTCACCAGATTGCAAGTTTTTACTCCACAAATTGGGTGGCTCCACAAGACAGAGCAGCTGCCGGATTTCCCTTTGTAGCAAAGGTAAGAGGAAGCTTCATTTTGCTTCAGCAGCGCAATTCATTTCCTGCCATAACTTCAACATTTAAACACTTTACCTGATTCATTTTGGTCCCATTTTGGCCTCTTTCTTTGCAGGGAGCAAGGAATTCTGTCCAGCAGCTGTGTGAAGATATGTAGTCCCAAGTTCACTGGCGATTCAATTTTCGTGGTTAGCCAAACACAACAACAATAAATGTCATGAAGGAAGAAAGTGAGGTTGTTACAGTAGTGAATAGAAGCAAGCAAAAGGGTAAAGAGAAAGAGTAGGGATGTAAATGTAAAATATGGCCAGTTGCCAGTTGCTAGTGGGGGCTGGATGATCATTTGTTTTTTTTTTTTGCAGCATTCTTACTTGTTCCTCTGAGTATAACAGTACAGATAAAGACGACGGGGGAGCAGAAAAAGAAAAAAGGAAGCAGAGGAAACGAAATAGTGGAAACAAGGCTTTCCCTTTTTGCGGCTTTTTGTTGTGTGGGAATGTCAGGTTGAGGGGAGTACGGATTGTTTTTGTCTGGTGAATTAAGCTGTAATGCAATGCATGGACTCCAGTCTCCAACGGTTTTGTCCATGTCCTATGCCATCAACTGGGAGATTTTCATCATGATGAGAAAGAAGTGTCCTGCTGGTTTTGGACCAAACTGAAAACATAAAAGGAATAAGAATCTGGTTTGGTGTTGACTTTTGATTCCATCATTTCCTTTATTATAACAAGACTTTGTTTTTCTAGTGTTTGAGTTAACAATTTCGATTTAACCTCCTTGATTTTGGACTCATTGAGCATTGGGGGGGTTTATCACTCTCTCTAGGAGTATTGGGGGTGTTCTAGCTCGTGTTATTATTTGCTCATATCATTGCTGAGTTTTGACTTGTTTACAGAATACTAGACACTGGGATATGTTTTAAATCATAATTTGTATCATGTTTGCTAATTTGTTGTGCCGAAACCGGATATTATATGAAATTTTGTCTGGTTGGATGAACTAATGGTCTACAGAATGATTAATTAGCTAAAATACACAAATATAAATAAAAAGGTGATGCATTTTTTCATGTTAGATGTTAGAGTTCATCGTCATTCATGGATTGAGTAGCAAGTTAGAAGAACGCATAAAATAATTGAGCAATGTAATAAAATTTGCTTCGAAGGAAGGATTGATTTGAATGGTGAAGACTTTGTCACGTTGCTGAAAATCAATCGTAGTTAAATCAAGAAGCTAGTTCGAAATAGCGCACTAAACAACATGTCAAAAGAGTTTTTCATTAAAGGAAAACAAAGACTCCAGAGCGATGCGAGTACACAAATCAATTTCTCATAATTAGTTATTATAGTATTTCTCAAATTGAGAAGCACATAGAGGAAACATGAAAATAACAGCGTAGATATTTTTTCTATCGAAGGAAGAGCACAAAGTGCGCCAGGAGAAGATTGGTTTTTGTTCTTGTGGAGTTAAACACTAAACGTTTAGGATCTATCATGTTCTTAAATGCAGAGCGTATTACGAATACCCTAAAATATCAAGATGAAGATGAATATTTTTCATGTTTGAACAAATTGTTAAACCACTTGAAAGAAAACCTCCCATATGGATCAATATTGGTTCTCAAATCAAGAAGTTCATTCAAAAAATACATTTAATAAAAAAATGAAAAAGAAGAAAAAATGACCATGCCGAGATCATCTCCGTTAACGGATTGAGAAACACGTCTAAAAATATATGCAATAGGAGTTAGGAAATGAAGTTTTCAAATCAAATATTATAAATAATGTGAGTCATAGAGTTAAGATCATTTTTCAATGGAGATGAACATTATGTATAAATCTTCATTTTCAAATCGAGAAATTTATAGAGAAATCAAAGCTAATAGGGAGCAAAGAAATCAAGAATAAGTAAATAACTATGGTATGAATCATCTCTATTTTGGTATCAAGAAGTAATATATATGCACCAATAGGTTAAAAAAATTTCTAATGAATATTAAGTGGTCTAGATGCAAGATTTTACAAAAGTAAAATAAGCAAAACTACACCAAATACATGCTCAGGGAACAATACTTTGTATTTCGGCATCTCTAAGTTTTGACAAATAAGTCATCTCACAAATAAGTAATGTCATTTTCTACCGCCCGGAATACTTTCCATATGAATTGGTAATCAAAATTTGCCAATGTTAGAATTAATAAATTGATTTCACCTTTTCAGTAAAATTGGTCAATGTTGGTCAAAAGAATTTTATAAGGTCAACCCTTGCACTTAGAAACCCTTAATCATGACAAATATGTTCAAAATGTACAATAGGGAATCAACATCCGTAGGTCGACTAGAGGCAGTCAAGTAATACGTCAAGTAATTAATTTTGTGTCACACTTGTCCTCCAAGTCACTTGTTTCCTTGTCCTTGTAAAAGAAGGAAATTTGGTTGTCATTAGGGTTTTAACCCTTCGTCTATCCCTATATAAGTTTAGCTACGAGATTGTCGTAACCAAGGCATCACAATGTAGTTCTCAAATAATAAAACGTCAGCCGTGAGCTCTTCCGAGCTCACCGTGGATTAGTCTTGATCAATCAATCGATCGAGGATACCACGTAAAACTCTCGTAATCTGTGTTCATTTCGATTCCGCGTTATCAAATTCTTCATGTGCTTCATAAGGATGAAATGATTCATCTCTCACGAGATGGAGTTCGCTTTTTCTTCCTTGAGCCTTCTGTTACGAATATTGAGGCGAAGCCGATGTAGCTTGATTAGGAAGTAATTGAATTCATGCCACGCAAGTCTTCTTGGACGTTTTCGTATTAAGACGATCTTGCCATGTTGTATTGCACATTTCCGTGCTACTTTATACGCAGAAGGGGTATGTTTTGCCTCGTACTTTGATACTCAACAAGCCTGATCGAGCAAGAGCGGTTGATCCTTTTTCTTGGTCGTGCGGAGGGTAAATGAAGTCAAATAGTGTCCAAATTTAAACCTGTATCCATTAACGACAACAAAAACAACAAAAACACTTCAATAGCGCAATTTAGATTTTGTCTTGATAACGATATTGGTTATTGAAGTGGGAATTCTGCTGCACAGTCAAAATCGTATTAGAAGGAAATTGTGAAATTTTGAGCAACCTAACGTTGAGTTTTGAGGCTTGAGGGGTTCAGACTGGTCATTGAGAAGGGAGTGTAGGAATGAAACATGTCAGATGAGCAATAGCTGGAAGGTGCCTTTATAACCCCAAAAGAAAAGGAGCCAACTTTGTTCATTAATGGACAAACAGCCTTGTTCTGGGAAAATTATATCTCACCAATAAAAGATGCAATTCCCTACCCCTCACCCTTCGATTCTCCATCTGTCCTCTTCGTCTATCGGCTCTAAAAAGCTCTGTTCTCAACCATGTCCAACTCCACTCAAAATTCTCCATTTACCCACTTCTTTACTTTTTTTTCCCGGTAATTACTTCTTTACTTTTCTCCCACCTAAGGTCAATTTGAATTTATAGATTCTTTCCTCCCTTTATTGGAGGTAAGTTAAATTCATATTATCGGTTACCGTTACTTTGAGCCCAATCACGGGTTTTCATTTCCAATCAATCAATATGATCTAACCAAGCATCAGGGGAAAAAAATGGCACTCAAGGTTAGATTTACAGCAATTATTTAAAATTCTAATAATGTGAAGAAGAAATAATCGCATACGTGGGTTGCACAATATGTATTAGGGTAACGTTGAAAATACAAGAGAAAACACTTTTGTATATAAGTGTCCACTACGATTTATTAGTAGGAAGTCTTTCGAAAATGTATTTAAAAGTAAATCCGTGTATACTTGACCCAAATGAACAATTTATGAGGATTCTGCAGAGAGGTGGGTTAAAATAAATATTGGAAGGCTGAACGCATCTCACTGAAGAGCAGAGGAGTCTTTTCCATTATTTATTACCTCACCGAGTGAGTTTAGACTTGCATAATTATGTATTGGTTGACCTTCCATTTATTTGTCTCATTCCAAATACTATCTGACCAAGGCTAAACTATCTTCTCTGCAACACATATGGTAGATCAATGAAAAGAGTAATTTGCGTCAAAATCCAAATTATATGGATTTTAACTCAAGTAGTATGGCTTACAACTGCGAGATTGATATAAGTTTAAGTTCAATTATTGATCTTTACAGATATAATTTACGAATGAAAAAATTATTTGAAAATGCATATAGATTCAATCATATTGTATAATAACTTGCGAAGAGATTAATATTTGAGAAGGAGAAAGCAGTTTTGACTTAGTGAAATGTAGATGATTGATGATCGAACACTATGGTTACCTGTTTTAGTGTCTTGAGGTTTACTTTTAAGCAAGAATTGTGAAACTTCACAAGAGATTATATTGGAAAAGTCGGTAGTAGGATATTTTGTACTAAACTGTGATTTAATTGTGGTTCAATCATTTCCTACTGCTAAACTACTTACCCATTTGAGTTTGATATATGGTATTTCCACCACGATCAGCCGATACCATAGGATTTCTCTTCTTAAAGTAGTACACCATATGGTTGTTTACATAAAAAGATTAAGTTTGGAGGACAAAAAGGGAGTGCTAAGAAGATTTAATAAATTTCATTTCAAAAGTCAAATCAACACAATCTTAAGTAGAGTTTTACTTATTTTTCTCCATTTCAAATTTCTAATCGAGAAAGTGAAAATAGAAAGAACATTTTTATCCTTACAATTATTTATTTATTTTCTTTATAAAAAAGATATTAGTACTCATAAAAAATTATGATTCTTTCGCTCATATTTTTTCAATTAACCATGTCATTAGAGATTTAACTATGAAAGTAGAGTTTTAGTTATTTTTCTCCATTTCAAATTTCTAGCAGAGAGAGTGAACCAAAATTTCCATCTACAGACTAGAAGTTCATAGTTTTCTATTACCAAAGCGGCAAATCGGCAACCCCGTTTGCTTTATTTTTTAATAAAATATTAGTGAGAGTGTTAGATTAGTACATTGATATTTCTTATCAAAACTTCCTTTGACACTAACATATTATTTTGTTATGTTATAACCGCTTTAGTATTATTTTGAGTTTCAAAGTTAATTCGTAATGTTATGCAGTACTATATTTATGGATTCCACTCCTCGAAAATATATTCACATCGGAGAGTCATCATACTGACAAAATAGTGTTCCAGTACGATCTTCAAACAACCAAGTAAAAGGGACGAAACTTTGATGCATAACCTCCTTAAGTTACAACTAGCACAAACCTCATGAGCTATAGCAAAGGGATTTTCAATTTCTCGCAAATTTAGCAGGCTATATCTCATTCATTTCAACTCTGATTTTAAATGGGTTAGAAAAATCATATTAATGGAAACTTTCCAAAGAATTTTTATAAGAATTTACAACTACATCAAAGACAATAATAGTTAGGTAACAATCTACTTCTACTATGTTTTTAACTTCTAAGTGCATTCATTATAGAGAGAACACTGTAACCAAGAAGTTTCTATATTTTTAAACTTCAGGGTTAGGGATTGGTTAGCTTGCTAACCCATTTATGGGGTTTGAAAAGTGACACCCCCTATTAATTATATTTAATTATGGTATTAAATTTGTGTTGCATTTAATTATCTTTGAGAAATAAAAATTTATATTAATTACATTCTTTTTTTTTTAACTATAATTGTATTGATACAACTAACTATCATTGCACCTGTACACTGAAATCATATTAATCACATTCCCTTTTTTGAACTACCATTGCAATGATACAACTATCATTGCACCTGTACTCTGATATCATTGCACTGAAAAAAGGAAAATAATTAATCTGAATTTTTAATTCAGACATATTATTAAATTCAATCAATTACTTTAAAAGCTTATAATTAATAGCGAGTGTCATTTTTCTAACCCCTTTAGAGGTAGTCATGCTATCTCACCCCTTAGGATTAGATGTGAGCTGTGGACAATAATTGTTTAATCTAACTTTATTGTCATGTATCGTGAAGGAGCTAGATTGTTTGAAATTTCTACTGAGAAACTACTCAAAGATAGTGACAAAATGAGAGAACATTCACCTTCTCATCCCATACAAACCGAGAGCATGAAGTTAAACTTTCAGATCAAGCTCACTGATTACAACATCACGAACCCCATAAGCGTGTACACTATTTTGAAGATAATGAAGTATGAAGAAGAGCAATCTTAGACAAAATTCATAGCATGCACTCAGTAAATTTAAGTTCTTGAAAATGGATATTTTTCAACTAAAACAATTTTTCATTAAATTTATGCATTCCATGAAATGTGAGAGAAAAAGCAAGAGTATACTAATAGCAGAGGTAGTGCATTCAGTGATGGAGAAAATAACATTATTGAAATAAAGAAAGAGATTATTGATGGTGGATATAGAGATTTCTATGATGGGAGGAAAGAGCGAATGATTGATAATATTTATAATTTTTGTGAACTGAAATTTCCACTACCGTGAAAAGATGTTTCACATTTCCAAACATATGATCATTAAAATTTAGTTTTCAATGAAATACAGGAGAAAAAGGAAGAGACTATTAATTTTTTTATGAATGATGAGAATTTTATAAGAAACTAATTAATCCATGAAACAAATAGTACAAAAGTTAAAAACAAAAAACCAGCAGCTCAACCAACAATATAGCAAGCAACGAAAGACAAAAAAAATTAAGCAATGGAAAAAACCTATTGATGGTGAATATAAAGTTCCATTAATGAAATCTAAAAGGAAATTCACTATAATTTCCAACAGCAACAAATAATTGAAGTGCGTTTTGAATATTAACTTTGTTTAGGAATTGATTATATGCATGAGTTATGTTGCTTACTTTTGATAAAGACTTTTGTTCATGAGGGATCAAGATGTCTTAAACTTATAATGTATGTTGTTTTTCTGATAATTTTAGTAATCGACTAATTTGAGTTCTTTTCATGTTACCAGATAGATGATTTGGGTAATTACTATTATTGATTATTGATCACTTGAGTCCATGCAGATTATTTTCAATGGTTAGCACGTGTCAACAACTACCCCATCCTCAGCCAAGATTAACCTAAGATGGCATTGTTGTATAGTGGTAATCAAGGTCGTATTTTGCTTGGGTCTTGGTACCCTAGCCTACTTCCCACCTAGTTGCTAATTAGATAATCGATTTTGGAGGTTTGAGTGGAGGATTTTAGGGAACTACAAGTTTAGAGATCGAATAAAGCTAACAGCAGGCACTTTGGGGAACTATCCCTCACCCTAGCCTAGGGCTACTATGTATATCTAGATACTTAGGGTTATCGAATGTGGTGAGTGAACTCATTTCCGTGGGCTCTTGTGATTATCCACACGCCCCCAAGTACGCCTCCCCTAAACCCATATAAAGTCACTTCGATCTAGGATATCTTATTTGGGGCAATAATCTTGTAGCTCTTTTCAATGGATACTATCCATCGTCCGCACCGAGGTTTTATCCCAGGTTCTATCTAGGAAAGGGTACCTAGGCCACCATTCATACATCTATCTTGATTTGCTTGATGGCGCACCCGTCTAACTCTGAAACTCCAAACACAGCGTAGAAGCGTATCTGGGGCAATAAGCTAGCAGGGGTTCGGTCGCCTCGACCACCATAGGCCCCCATTCATACATCTATCTTGATTTGCTTGATTGCGCACCTGTCTAACTCTAAAACTCCAAACCAACCGTAGAAGCATAAAGTAGGCTAGTAGAGAAGATTAGGGCGACTTACCAAAACACAATCAAATATAGAATAACAATAGAATCAACTAGATAAAGACATTCATTCATTCAAAGTTTCAAACCCTAAAATATCCATACATGCACAATAAACCCTGAAATTAGGGTTTGGGGTTTAGAACTCCTAGTACCTTAGAGGAATACTCCATAAAGGAGGGAAGAAGATACATAGAAAAAATGGAAGAAGACTTCAGGTTGAGGAAGACACCTCCTCTCTTTTAGCTCATTCTCCTTCCTTCAGCTTCTCTCTCTCTCTCTAAAACCAGAAATTCTTCTCTCAAAATTAGCTCATCTAAAAGGGGGAATGGGGTCTCCTATTTATGGTAATCAGAGGATGGACAAGTTCGTGGCCAGAAGGGTAGAGATCACGGGCGGGATCTTTAGAGGAGAGGGTGCGATCTTGAAACGCAGTCATGATGGCCTTCAGGATTGAGGATATCGCAGGCTGACTTCGCGGTCGCAATCCGCTAGTCGCAGCCGCGATCTTCCTCATAGTCAAAAAGCACTGTGGCCGTGATTCGACTGGGGAAACTCTATGTTTCTCCTCGGCTCCTTCTTGGTGAAGTTCGCGCCCTAAGCCCTACAATTCACGGTCGTGATCTTGGACTTCCAGGTCGTGATCTTCATCTTGTTTTTTTTGGTCCAGGATCTCGACCGTGATCTTTACTTCTAGACCATGATCTCCAGTCTTCTACCCCCTTGCTACACTTGTGACCTTGTTTTGTACCTAATACGCATATATCGTCAAACACACCCTAAAATCACACTGAATTCAAATAGGAACATAATAGAGATGCAATTGACGATGTTTAAGAAATTTTACACATGAATTGACACGAAACATATCTCAATATGAAAGGTAAATAACAGCAATTTAGGTGTTATCAATTATACTATTGATGTAATTCATCCGGCCAACAGGCGGGCCCAACTCTCGTATCATATTAATGGAGAACAAGTGGTATTAGAGACCGATTTGGAATTTGGATTTGGGGCAGTGGACACGAATTTGGTGGACCCTCATTCTGCATCCTCCGGATTTCAGATATGCATTTGTTTAGCGGAAAATAAAAATTTTCGTCTTCTGACATATCAAAATGGAGATTAACATCTAGTAAATCCTTGTGTTGAAAGGCTATCGATACAATGGTTCGAGTCTTTTGGGAAGGAATACAAAAATAAATCTGTGTAAGTTTGGCCTAAAGCGGACAATATCTTACTAGTGAAGAGTTTGGTCTCAACAAGTGGTATAATAGTTTGGTTTGCGAGTTTTGATCGAGGGTGGTGGACGTTACTTTGGTGGACCCTCATTTTGTAACCTTGGATTTTTTTTATAACCAGTGACCTTGAATTTGAGATATGCATTTTTGCGGCGTATCTAATGCATATCTGCATATGGTATATGTCTGGCTTATCAAAGAATATACAATGTATGGATGAAATTCAAAGATTGGAGGAAGTTACTCACCTGATCTTTACCGATGATACTCTCGTCTTCTGTGACACTTATCATCATCAAGTTCTTCATATTTTGGTGATCCTTGTTTGCTATCAAATGGTCATGGGTATCAGGACTAATCTCGATAAATCTACGATGCATAACATGGGTGATGTCTTCGAGCCAAGTTTTTTGTTGTTGATATCTTTGGTTGTAAATGGAGTAAGGAGCCCCCCCCAGGAGGGAGAGATCGCGGGCGGGATCTTCAGAGGAGAGGCCGCGATCTTGAAACGCAGTCATGCTGGCCTTCGGGATGGAGGATATCGCAGGCTGACTTCACGGTCGCAATCCGCTAGTCGCGGCCGCGATCTTCCTTGTAGTAAAAAAGCACTGTGGCCGTAATTCGACTGGGGAAACTCTATGTTTCTCCTCGGCTCCTTCTTGGTGAATTTCGCGCCCTGAGTCCTCCAATTCACGGTCGTGATCTTGGACTTCCTGGTCGTGATCTTCAGCTTGTCTTTTTTGGTCCAGGATCTCGACCGTGATCTTTACTTCTAGACCACGATCTCTAGTCTCCTACCCCCTTGCTACACTTGTGACCTTGTTTTGTAACTAATTCGCATATATCGTCAAACACACCTTAAAATCACATCGAATTCAAATAGGAACAAAATAGGGATGCAATTGACGATGTTTAAGAACTTTTACACATGAATTGACCCGAAACAAATCTCAATATGAAAGGTAAATAACAACAATTTAGGTGTTATCAATTATACTATTGATGTAATTCATCCGGCCAACAGGCGGGCTCAACTCTCATATCATATTAATGGAGAACAAGTGGTATTAGAGCCCAATTTGGAGTTTGGATTTGGGGCAGTGGACACCAATTTGGTGGACCCTCATTCTGCATCCTCTGGATTTCAGATATGCATTTGTTTAGCGGATCAAATAAAAATTTGCGTCTTCTAACATATCAAAATGGATATTAACATCTAGTAAATCCTTGTGTTGAAAGCCTATCGATATAATGGTTCGAGTCTTTTGGGAAGGAATACAAAAATAAATATGTGTAAGTTTGGCCTAAAGCGGACAATATCTTACTAGTGAAGAGTTTGGTCTCAACAAGTGGTATAATAGTTTGGTTTGAGAGTTTTGATCGAGGGTGGTGGACGTTACTTTGGTGGACCCTCATTTTGTAACCTTGGATTTTTTTTTATAACCACTGACCTTGAATTTGAGATATGCATTTGTGCGGCGTATCTAATGCATATCTGCATATGGTATATGTCTGGCTTATCAAAGAATATACAATGTATGGATGAATTTCAAAGAATGGAGGAAGTGACTCACCTGATCTTTACCGATGATACTTTCGTCCATACAATGTATTGATGAAAAAGATTCAGAGGAAATTTATGTGGAATGATACTTGAAACAAAGAAGACTCCGCTTGTTGGGCGGGACTTGTGCAAGGCCTCTAAATCATATGGTGGTCTTGGGATATTTGAAAGAGATAATTTATAGAGGTCCCTCATTGACATCAAATACCCAAATCAGGCGTCTTCTTGGCAAACAGGGGGAGGTATGAGCAATTTTCCAGTTCAGTGTGGGCAAACCTTTCAAAGGAGTACGGCATGTTTTGGAAGCTTGTCTATCCCCATGTATGTACTTGTTGCTCCTTTCCCTCGTGTAGTTGATGCTGCCAGGTGCCTAGTTGCTCAGACTTTTTACGTCGTTTCCTTGTTAGGTGAAGGACTAGGTGGGATATTAATCTAACCTTTTCTTTAAGTGGTGGGGCCAAGATGGAAAGAGTGAATCTCATGAGTCTCCTGCACTTTTTTTATTTCCATTATGTCTCTAATAGCCTGTGCAGGATAGTTTGGTCTCCCAAACCAAGCTCCATGATGACACGTAAAAGTATCCATTCTAGTCCCACGTATAGTGACCTAAAGTGCATACATATCCCATCATTAGTATCATCATACCTTGAATTTATGCCATGATTGTTTCAAGTGTGTTATAGCAACCCTATCTCTTTTTCGGGGAGACACAACGATGATGTCCATATATATCCTTGATGTCCCCTCCCCCGCACGAGTGCTAAGTGATAAAAGAAAGAAGGCTCTTCTCTTTGCCCAACCAAGGGCCTTTCAATCCAGGATCCAGCTCAAGACGGAGCCGAGCTCGCATGATGCAATTAGCCAAGATTTTGACCGGATACGAAGTCACTGTTTTTTCCCTATTCAAAGATCATCCCTTTGTCTCTGTGTTTTCACATCGAGAATTCTTTGCAGATGAAGAGATGTCAAAGATTGCTTTTATATGATTGATACGCTTTTGGTAGCATTTAGTGCATTTTCAGGCTAAAGCAGACTAGTGGACCACTTGGAAGCCACAGGGCTCATTGAGATCAAGTTGTTGGAGCTGGGATTCAAAGACCAAAATCCTGGAAAAAAAAAACGACGGAAATGGCGTCGTTTCGACAAAGTCATCCACTTCATCAGCAAGTCATCTTGAAGCCTCCTAATTCGCGGGCCACGTTTTTGGAGCATTCTTATTGGTTAAATGACACTGGAGACTCGGTTTTAACGAGAAGTCATGGAAGGGTAGTTACTCTTCCGACAGAGCAACCTTCCTAACTTATAACGAGACCAACCTACGAGGGAGAAACGGCGCCAAAAATGGTGCCTCTTGGCCTATTTTCTCTATCACCTGCACCATTTCCAGTGGGTGTTATGGTATCTTCCTTTCAATCGATGAACACCTATGGCTAGGTAAGTTCTTTAGTTGCGTAAGTATGTGAGCCCTAGGGTTATGACCATGTACACTCATTGGTTTGATTTAATACGATTGTGTTTCTTTCATATGTGTGATGTTTTATTTCCTCTGTCTAGTTATGTTTCTATTTGAATGAGAGTTTAGGACGAAATTGCACTCATTCGAGGTGTAAGGATCGAGAATCCCAGTTGTTTGGGATGGGACTAGAAATAGCAGTCCTACTTGATCGACCGTCATTTGTTCGAGCGGCGTGACGTCCCAAGGGTTAAATCCGAAGGGTCCTTGTTGCCTATTGAAATCGACAGTGACATGTCCCGTCTCTTTTCCAAAAACCAAACCATAACTCAAACCAAAAACCAGTTACTCCGGAGCAACCAACTCACTTTTTAAAATAAATAAATCGACAATGTTTAAGAATTTCAAACAAAAAGGGTGAACACTTGGGCAAATGACAATTCCAATACTTAAAATGAAAGAACTCAGGATCTCCAGTTTACACTCCTAACCGAGGAATTTTACAATGCTATATAGTATTGGTGCTATAGGTTTTTGCCTTTATGGTACAACTTGAAATTGTACATTTACGTTATGGTACAACTTTAGATTATACCTATACTGTTTGTACAAATTCTTTTATGGTACAACTTGAACTTGTACATTTATGTTATGGTACAACTTTACAACTTAAAGTTGTACCATAACATAATGATACAAATTCTTTTATGGTACAATCTAAACTTATACATTTCATGTTATGGTACAACTTTAAGTTGTACATTAAAGCACCAATACTATATAGCATAGTAGAAATGCTCCTCCTAACCATGTAACAAGGAAATTAAACTATTCTAGCTTTGACTCTTCACGAGTTCCTTGACTTCTCATCAATGCTGGTGCAACTGCTCGCATCACCTTGCCTCTTCTTGCTGTCCGCCTCTGCTAACCCTTCCTCGACCTGGTGAGTGAGAAGGGGTCAGTCTCGTCGTTACTTCCTAAGGTCTTTGCCCTAGGCAAACTCCTTACTAAACACATTATTAGGGGAATGCCTTCCTTAGACGAAAGTCGTTCTCACTTTCATCCTTTAAACTTTACTAACAAACAGTCTATAAGAGATCTCTACTCCTGTCTTATCTTTAGAATTCCCTTACTTATATTCTCAATCCATAGACACCAACACAAGGGACCACCGCGTTACGTCTCGCTGTCCGGTGTCCCTACCCTAGTATGCCAACCGCGTTACGTCTCGTCGTCCGGTTGCATACCCAAACTCAGCAATGGAACTGCGTTACGTCTCTCCGTCCAGTCCATGCCCGTCAACTACTGCGTTACGTCTCGCCGTCCAGTAGTGACCCAACATACTCGATCAATTGTTGCGTTACGTCTCGCCGTCCAGTAGTGATCCGGCCATCTACCGCGTCCAGTAGTGGCCCAACCGCCCGGGGGTTCCTCATACCATCAACCATACAACATCACATACATTTATACATAGCACAAAGGGTGGCTCCACCCTTACAGGCGGTGGGATGCCTCACACACATATCGCGCATTACTCAAAAATTAACTAATTAATAACTTCAAATGAAAAGCGTAAACTAAAAAGACCTCGACATAGATTTTACCCCCTTTAAACTCACCTCGAAAAGATGAATCCTCAATTCCTTCCTCGAAGAAACCCCTCCTTAGCCGGATTATCTTGGGGAAACCTATTAATAAAAATCCATTTTCTTAGACGACCTTACTTGATTCAAAACCCCTTTTGAATCACTAGGACATCCTCCCTCAAACTCCAGTCCTTGAACCTCACTCCAGAGGTCCTTTAACCCCCACTAAAATTTTTTAGAATTAATCCCTTCAAAAAATGACCATTTTCTTAATTATTTTAGTCTTGGACAAATTTTCCACCTAACTAGAACCTTCTTAAAAATTCAGAAAATAATTTTTCCATGTCAATCATGAGCCCCTATACCTTGGAAAATTATCAAACCCTTAAAAACCCCTCGGAAAGATTTTTATTTAATTAAAGCAAATATTCGAACAATTTCTAAAAATAGAAATACATCTCCAAAAATCCCCAAATTAAATTACAATCATCTCCTAGATTTCGCTCAATTTATTAAATTGCTAACTTCAGAAAAAATTCTTCAGAGAGGCTCGAAACAATTTAAAACATCTAAAAATACGTTTTTGGAAATTTCCAGCAGCTTTAGTGACTAATCAAAATCTGTCACTAAAAGCCTGCACGTCTGTTGCTAAAACCTCAGAATCGCACCCCCATGAAAAATCACCAAATCGCTTGATCTAACTCAAAGGGATCGAGTTCCCTTACCTCTAGAACGTTCCTACGCCTAGGTTGGATGACCTGGGACGTTGATCTCCTTGTTGATCGAACCCTCAACGTCACCGCTAATAAAATACGAGCTTCGCATTAGACTATCGATAAATCGAGTTTAGAAATCGCGAAGAGGTTCGAGATCCTTACCTAAAACGAAAGGGATGGAGTCGGGGTCGGGGTACAGGGAGGCTGCAACTCGCTCGCGATGGGAAGCAGGGGCGACCGTGTTTTTTTTCTTTTCTTTTTCTCCGCGGCTGTTCGCGGGCTCGTGGCTGTTGCTCCTTGCGTGGGCGGAAGAATGGTGGGGGTGGGGGAATTGGGCGGAAGAATGGTGGGGGATTTATATATATGGGGAAGGGTCGCCACTCGACCCCCTTCCCTTTTATATAAATATTTTTATATAATAATAATAATAATAATAATAATAATATTATCATAATAATAATAATATTATAATAAAAATAATGTTATAATTTTATTATTCTTAATCCGCGATTGTAACTCTTAGTACGTAACCATCAACCCAACCGATCACGTATTAAAGGTCGAACCTAAATCTAAATTATCGGGGTGTTACAGATAGCTTGTATGCTACCGATAATCGAGGGACGCATGGTTAGGAGAGGGGGGAGCTTGCCTATAAAATGCCTTCCTTATATATTCTCTCACTCGTTCATTACCCATAGATTTACTTTTCTCATAGCAAATATTCAAAGATATTTGGCTCACTCTTGATTGTGTTGCTCGCAATATTATCAGACTGTCTGTGGATTGGATATTTCTCACGGGAAAGGAGGTTGAGAATAAGGTCTGTTTAGGCCATAAGATAAATTTTTGTGTCGAGCTGCAATATAAGGTGTTTGGCTGATGAAGAAAATTGTTGAAGAAAAAACAAAGGCGAAGAAGAAAGTGGTTAGCAACAACTACTAAGAACAAACAAAATACAAGCAGAGGGAAACATCTGCAAGGTCCACAATAAGACTATACACAAAGCAATAGACTCAAATGCACACCCACCAAACAAGAAACCATAGTCGCTGGAAAGACACCATTAACCATCACATGCGAACTAGTCCCTCAGACCAACCATTGGAGACAGAACATCTTAGGCATGCAAACCCCATGAACCGCAAGTGCATGAGGGTTTAACATCATCGAAGCCATAAACCAGAGCAAAAACTTATAGCTAAACAATTATGCATCCACTGCACCCCGTGTCTCATATCAATAACACTTGAGTTCACAGTAAGTAGTTCTAACTTAATGAAACGTAATTTTTGTGGTTGTTTATAAATCGAGTTAAAAAGTTATATTCATGTTAAGAGGAAATAAGTCATAAAAAAGCAAGGTTCAAAAATGTGTTAGGCGTAAGGCGAGCGTTGATCTTTTGCCTAGCGCCCAGCTTGTTTAGGCGTAGACTAAGCGTGCGTAGGTGTTGGAAGAAAAATAGCTATTCGCACTGCATGATGAATGAATTAATAATCTACAACACTTTCTCACTTCGGTTAAAATGATTAATAACTTACTCAATACTTAATGTCAAGAACATAGCTCACAAATTCATAGAATCATAGCTCAATAGCTCACAAATTTCTTAAACTATTGCAAATATTGATGTAGATAATTGATTTTGTAGGTGATTTTAAATTTTCTCCTTTAATATTGACTTACTAGCTCAATCTAGTAATGTTTAGCAGAGACGTTTATGTCGTCTTACTTTATTGACGTGTTTTAGTATCTAGTTAGACGCGAAAACCCTAGACGAGGCGTTTTGCCATTACGCGCCTAGGCGTGCCTAACCGTAAGATTAAACGTGCCTTTTTGAACCATGTAAAAAAGTAAGGTTGTATAAATAATTTGATGCTAAAAAGAAATTTTAAGTTGTAAAATGTATACTAAAAACTTTAATTGTCAAACTTTTTTCTAGCCAGATTTATCATTCGCTACAAACTTCAAGTACAAAATCACTATTTTCACTAGAGATACAATGATTCAAGAAAATATTATCATTGTATATGAGGTCATTCTCACTTCAAATCTTCCGAGGAAGAGTTTGGAACATGATGCTTATGAAAAACTGTTAATTATCTTGTAATGCGGGGCTTACTTTGATGACATACTAACAACCGCAAGTTTCAATTTTACAGGAAACCACTAGATATACCGCACACAGACATACCATCAAAATTTACGAAATAGTGGTGAATTTTTTACTCTTCCACAAGACATACCTCGCATAAACAAACTTGAGACTATGTTTCATGGTCATCGATTAAATAATTGAAAAATATGGAGCATCAATTAGCCACTTTCATCTCTACAATCAATGCAAAATTAAAAATGCCTTTTTCCATTAAAGCCCATCCGTTGCACTCGGTTTGTTGTTTCTCCTTACATATCCCAGGCAAACGAAATCACGAAATCGAATGGTGTTTGCTTGCACACTTTGTTCAATGGATGTGCAGAACTTTTTGAGGTATATAAGAACTTTCACTACAAATTATCTTTTGAAGTAGCCTATTGGTTAATTGAAAATCCCATAATGATGCCATCTTCTAGAGGATGGTGGAAGCTTTTGACAATGGAAAGGATTCTAGCTAGTCTAGAGGAAAACCTCTTCAAACACTATATCTGACGTGCATCGCAAGCGAGGCGAATCGTTCGTTTCATCGATCCAGCAGGCAATAGTCAAGAGTGTGCTTAGACATTGGCAGCGACTCTTGTTGAGACCCTAAATCATCAATATGATAGATAGGTGGACATTGATGGTGTCAACTTTGCTTGTCGATCAGCTTGAATATTGGAAGATCTCCCTACAACTGGATTCAATAAAGACGATATCACTCATACTATCCCACGACGAGCCTATTCGTCAGTACTCTGGTCTTGTTCTATTTTTTCTTAGTCCCATGAAACCGTTCACAACTCACACATATATAGAAAGTGTAATTTCTTAATTGATTGTTTGGTCTATAGAGGTTTATTAGTTCATATATAACTTTCAATTTAGTTTGAGATACCGATATACATTATTAGTGACTGAATTTCATATAATTTGTACTAACCTTGATCCTTTCAAACAACATTTTTGGATTTACGAGTTTACTACTGTGTACCTGTATCCAACAAAACATCCAGGGTCTGGTAACACAAGACAGGGCTACACTTGCACTACAAGATTGAGGTGTTGTTATCTTATTCGAACATGGTAGGTCAATGAATCAATTAAAATCGAAATTTGCACAATATCCCTTTTCCCAGAGAGCAGTCAGCAACAACAGAACTGTCGCTGCATGCCCATCTAACCACAGGCACAACAAGTTGCATATTCAAGAAAAGCTGTATGCATATTGGCAGGCCACAAACCTGAGCGTTGTCGACACAATTTAATGTACAACTGCAAGTAGAGAGCGTTATTACTAGCCATATATTAGCCCTTTTATTTCTTCCTGTGCTCATATATATATATATATATGGCTAAGCTGAAAATATAGTTTATCTTCGAGAGTTCTGACAAAATCTCACGCTTGAAACAGAATGGGACGATGCACTGGCTCTCGGTCTGCATGTATTGTCTCCAAAGCTGGAATGCCATTGAAATGGAACAACCAGATCTCTCTGCATGATATTTATTGTTCAGAAAACAGAAGCCTCGGTTTGCATATATGCTACTCGATTTCAGATTTTGCATTGATTTAGACTTCACGGCAAGTTCATAATTAACTTGAAGCATAGTTGGAAGTTCTGGGATACAGTCTATCGGAAACTGAAATTGAGCTTCTGCGACTCAAATCACGAGTTTTACTTAATTAGCACCAACGTTAGATTAAATAAGCTACATAGGAGATGGTATGGTAAATTTATTTTCAGGTTTCCAAGTAACTAGAGTTAAAATAGAGGTGACGAGAGTTATAGTTAGTACAAAGGTTGGAGTATAGATAAAAAGTTTTTTGGGTGATTCTTCAGGAGATTTGGAAAATTCTCTATACATTTTTTTTTATAGATTTGACTACTCTGTAAAGATTTTCATATCTTTTTGCAAATTCTAAGTTTGCTTGCTTTTTATCCTATAGTTGTCTTGTGATGAAACAACTTTGTTGCTATCGTTGTCTCATATTGTCGACCGCTTCCAAAAAGCAGGTATAAGGTAAATGTAAGATTGTCATCTGATCGACCGTTTGCCAGAAGCGATAGAATGTTTTTCTAAAGTGGTGAACCCCTTTCATGAATCGGTACATCGGTTGCCCCCGAAAGTGAATGAGCGGTTGCCTAAAGTGGTCTACTGATTCTCAGAAGCAATTTGACCATTTTCTATAAATCACAATAACTTGTCAGTCACCATAAACATATCCAAAAATTTAATAACTTAGCTAGGTTTATCGCTGTCAAGTTTCAACGAAAGAGGAGATAGATTCGCGGTTCTTGAGCAAAAGAGATGACTTAGCTAGCTCCTTGGGGTTGACCTCTTATTGTTTGATCATTGGATTTAGAGGTTGTTTGCATGATGGATTTGGTGATGGATTTGATGATGGATTTGGACCAATTATGGACTTTGTGTAAACTCTATTGTTTGCTTCATCGATTTAGGGACAACAAATCCGTTGACCCCAAAGACTTTAAGGGTCCAAATCCATGGACCCCACAGACTTGAAAGTTCACCTCTTGGCTCTTTATGTGAGAATTGATTATGGACTTTGAAGTTCATCATTTATGAGCAAACTACCATTCCTACTATCTTTCTCTACTCATACCAATTAGGACAATATAAGTCAATTTCACTTCATATACATACAAATATAATTAACCAAATTCATGATACAAACAATGGTTATTTCAAGTCCATAATAAACCCAAAATTCTCGTATTTTCATGATTTTACAAAATCCAAAATTTATCAAAATCTTCATTTTTCAAATTAACAAAACAAACTACCCGTTATTTTGTTAGATTTTGATGTAGGCACGTCCTACCATTCTGATGATTCGAGCCCATGGGCTCTCGTTGTTTAATGAAAAGTTATATAAACATTCAATAAAACACCCAAATGATACTTTTTCTGTCGGTTGTGGGGGTAAACAGTAATGGTGCCACAAGAGACCTAGCTAGCTGGAAGAGCTAGCATGAGACTGTGAGGAAGAGAAGATGGATGGGATGGGATGACGTTAGAAGAAGCAGCAGAGAATCAGAGCTTCAGAAGAGTGAGCAGAGCAGAGGGTGGTAATGGTGGGATGCCAAATGGGGGAAGGGGGTGAAAAGAGGGAAAGAGTCATAGGCTGCCAAATTAAGCTTTCATTACGCACACCACACCTCATCCCTGATGTCACTCTCTCTCAGTCTAACTTAATAACAAATTCATCATTTTATTTATATTTTTATTGTTTGATTTTGGTTTTTGCTTGTTAGACAAGTTGTGTCAGGCACTCGTTTACTGCAAAAGGGCAAAAACCCCAAAACAACACTAGTGCAGTAGCAGCTACGCACGAGCCTCTCTGCCTCTTAGAAGGAGAAAGCATAATAATAGGGTTACTACTACTAGCAGACGTAGTGCAATTGTGAGATGAGTGGTAGTGCATGCATTTGCCAATCAGAGCGAGGGAGGTATCGTTTCATCATCACCACGGTCCACGTGCAAGGCATCTTGGTACCTCCTCTTCTCTCAACTTTCTCCTCTTTCCTATTGCCTGCCGTTGGTGGATGGATCATCTATAAATTTGGGACTCTCCTTCAACGGATTAGAAAAATTTACTGTGGATTGAAGTTTGTTTCTTTGAAGTCATCAATATGATTAATGATACGTTGAGATCAATGAGGAATTTGCTTCTTTGTGAAGCTGGAGCCTTGGTGGAGCAAACATCCTAAAGGGGGTTGTCATCTCTTCTTACCGGTTTAGTGGCCGTTTGACCAGCCCTTTTATCAAAATGTTATTGAATACAACGTATTTGTAATTTGTATCCCATTTATTTTAATTATTTGAACCTGCTTAATGTTGTGTGACATTAAGGTGATTTCGAAATATTATCATTCAGTTTTTGAAATCATAATAACCTTTCATCGATAACCGAACATTGTATTCTTAATAATTATAACACTCGTGAATAATCATTCCTGACATTTATATTTAATAAATATCTATGGTTGAAGAAAAATGACATAACAAAAAAAGAAGTTCGTCTAACAAAATGTAGCAAAAATACCTTTAGCCAATATTTGTTTCTCTTGATGTGAGATACATACTCAAACTTCAGTTGAAGACCAATATTAGTCCATCAACAAATATAATTGAACTTCTATTGTTGTACTCATCATGCTAATGCATATAATAAGCACATCAATACATCCATGAAAACTTCACTCCTACTTCATGATTTTTGTTTTACCGTGGTTAGTTCGTATTAAACCAGGTAACTATAAATGGTGCACATGATAGCCGAAGGTGATTCCAAAGTGGTCGTCAACCAAGTCCGTCAAGGCATCTCAGAAGACTCAATTGGTGGTCCGGTGTTACGAGAGTGTCTCCAGATCCTTAGCTCTTTGTCTGTTTGTATAGAGTTTAGGGCGGTTCCTAGATCCGCCAACAGTGCTGCCCATAGAGTGGCGCGTAAAGCACTGCTTTTGTCTCTTGTAGAGCTAGAATCTTTTGATTTCTTGGGGTGGCTTCTTTAGAGTTTTTTAAGGGTCCTGGGTAGAATTGTAAGCTTAACTATTATTTCTCATTGATATCACTCAGAAATAAAAAAAGTTTACAAAATTTATGCTAAAAATCGTATTCTTTGAAGCTCATCCATGGGGCCAGGGCTTCATATCATGAAATATTCATTGAGAAATAATTAGCAACAAGGCAACAATATCTATAGATAAAGATGTTAATGGAAATTAAAATATCTCATTGACGCTAAATATTATGATACACTTGAAGAAGCTTACAACGTAAAATCTCTTTAAAATGGCATGGTTAATAGCAAAATATGAGCGAAAGAATCATAATCGTCGGGCGACTTTCTAAAATTCATGAAACAAACAAATGAATTGATTACACAAAATTGGCATAGACCTTAGGTTTCTATTATTGAATCAATTTGGATACCGCATGAAACAACATAAGAGGGTTTTCAATGAAGATGAATTCAACAATAAATTTGAAAACTAATACCCAAAATCGAAAATTACATGAATTGTTTCATCCTATGATACTTACTATGAAGCAATGAGTGTTATCAATCAAGTAGAACCGACATCTTACAATGAAGCAATCAAGAGTGATGAATGTAATAGGGCTGTAAATGTTGAGATACAATCGTTAGAGGAGAATCAGACCTGGAATGTATTAACAGTACCTAAGGTTAGGAAGACAATTGGAAATAAATGGCACTTCAAGATCAAGCTGAAAGCAGATGGAAGTAGAGAGGTATAAAGGTAGACTTGTAGTTAAAGGGTTCACGCATATTTATAGACTTGATTTCTTGGATACATTCTCGCTAGTAGGCAAGATTAATTTTGTAAAGGGATTTACCCGTGGCAAATGTGAAGAATTAGAGTTTGGAACAACTTGATGTGTCCAATACCTTTATACATGGAGAATTGAAACAAGAGGTATACATGAAAATTCCTCTTGGAATTTCAGTATCTAACAATAATGGAAAACCTATGACTTGCATACTTAAGAAGTCATTGTATGGACTAAAGCAAGTCTCACGACAATGGCTTGTAATGCTGACAGGGTTTCTAATGAACAACGGATTTGTAGAATATGCCTATGATTATTCAGTCTTCAGCAAGTGGATACATGGAAGAGTAGTGATACTTCTAGTGTATGTTGATGATATAATAATCATTGGTAGTGATTCAATAAAAGGATATAGATCAAGTGAAATTGGATTTTAGTAAATACTTCAAGACAAAGATGCTATCTAGGGTCGCTAAAAGTGTTTTATGGAGCTGGAAATTATAAGAGATTAAAAAGGAATAAGTTTATGTCCTACGACGAGTTACTTAAAGACATTGGATACTTGAAATGAAAAAGATGTCAGACTCTAATATACTGACTCGCTTCTACTGTCACTATAGAAAATGGCCAAGTGTAACCACCTCCTAAAGCGTAGTATAGCGGGTTTGGGTTTTAATGTCAACCGGGGTCCTAAATGCGATGACTACTCCATGAGTTCTTATTATTTAGCAGTGAAACTTTAGTGAAGGTCCAAACAAGCAAACAAGTAAAGCAAGTAAAAAGGTTGTTTTCAAGTCAAGAGAGGTCACCCGGATATGGTTCCCCCTAGACTGCAGTTAAGCCGGATTGTAATTTACCAAGTTCAATTTCAATGATAGTTATACTGTGGGAGGTTCTTAAACAGTCTGTAGTCTCGACTAAAGGTCTCCATACCCTCTCAATCTGAGTCTCCAGCGGGCGACTAACCTCCATCGGAGTAAACAGACTGAGGCCCTAACGAACCAAACCTCCACTATCGAAGTAAATTCAGTACATAATAGTGAATTGACTTCTCGACTAAAGTTTCCAATTCACTACCTTCAATCAAGGGTGCTCTATCAACCTAGGCATATATTCTCTTTCTAGGTTAAAACAGAAACAACAGGAATTTGATCACGATTCATGCCATTCAACAAATCAAACCTCAATTGAACATAATCATACCACTGAAGCTGTACTTGGCTTGGGTTCATACAATCAGACCTAACATACAAATCTAGGGTTCTTTATACCCAGGTGAATAAGAAAGTTACTCCATAGAGAGAGATGGGAGATCTAGCTCAAATACGGAAACCATACTGTGAAGGATGAGAATCTATTTCTGGCACTCAATCAGCTCTTCTCCAAGCTCAAGCCATGCTCCAATGGTGATGGAGATCGATCAAGGTCACTTGCAGAATCAGGTTTATCACTTTCTCTCTCTAGGTTTCGCTTTTTCTCTCTAAAACTCGGAACCTTTTCTCTTTTGCCTTTCTTTTCCCTTTAGAGGCTGTCTGTCGCGATCCCTGGCCTGAATACCCGGTCGGGTATTTTGGGTAGTGACCGGGTATCTTCAAAATGCACTGTCGGGTAACAGGGGAAAATCCCCGGTCAAGGCCAAGAATCCACGAACGGGGATTTAAGCCTCATGACCGGGCCCCCTTCTGCTTCTCAAATGTCCACAACGAATTTTCCCCGGTCTGCTCCAAATAATACCCGGCCGGGTATTTTTGCTAATGGCCGGGTATTTTTCTCCTCCAGCACACTTCGACCCAAACATGCTTCTTTCGACCCGAAACTCGCCTCAATGCCAACGCTACGTCCTGAAATATGACATAAACGCACAACCTAGCGTGAAATCGGCTTAAAACACAAGAATCAACATCTCAAACGGCTCAAGAATAGGGGTAAAAATATGTGTAATCAATGGTCTATCAAACTCCCCCACACTTAACCGTTTGCTTGTCCCCAAGCAAACCTAACTCAAACCAATGCAACTCTCCTGACCTCTATAGCAACAAACAACCCCGATCGTCGGTAGAAGATTTTCTAGATCATATAGCAGCTTACGAGGTCAACTGGTTTTCTAAGACGTTCCCTATCTCTCTCAATGCGAGTACTAGACTCAAGCCAGGATCATGAGAAGAAGTAGAAGTAAGACAGTCAGTTCATGGATAAAGGGACTCACACCATTCACAACCAAGGACTCGTGGTACTGGGGTGCTCTTTCACTTCATTTTACCGTTGGAACCCCTTTTTTCACTTTCATTTTACTGTTTTTTTCTTCTTTTTATTCACTCGGCGGGGGTTCCAACTACTGTCTTTTGCACGGTCGACCCTTATTAGTCGAGCAAGAGCAATTTTTGTACATCTGGCGCTCGCCAGAGTACTTCTTTTAACTCCTTTTCCTCAACTCGTGTGGAGGGTCAATGAAACTAAGGGGGGTCGGAAGCTCTATCCGTGCCCTTAAAAACGCATCCTCAAGTAGGCAAACCGTTCAACGGGTTGAAGTTTTACTTGTACTAGAGACAGCTTAGCTTCACCTTGTAGGAGTATCCCACTAAGGATCACTAAAATCTCCTCCAAAACCCGATTTTGTGCAATGAACGGTGCCACACACGTTGGGCTTACCCCATGTTTAAGATTTTGATGATTTCAACATGGAGGACCAACTGCTTTTCATTTTCCACATGAGCACCCTGTTCGATACACGAGTCCATAACACAATCCAAACAGAGTCACCATTACCCCATGAATTCAATGGTCTTAGCTCCACTAATTCACAAAATCAACTAGCACAACAAAGAGCTAGATAGGAAAAATATTATACTTCAACATCTTCCATAGTGCTACACTACCTCCCTAGGTTGCACATTACCATAGAGACAGTCAATTCAAAGCATACTGAGTAGGCAATTTGCAAGGAAACACGTACTTGGAGCCCTCAAATTTAAAAATTTGGACAGTGGACTAGGCTCCAAGCACACAAACAGATCTAATGCAGTCAAAAGAGAAACATCCCCCCCCACACTTAAGTTCGACATTGCCCTCAATGGAGAAGAGGGAAGGATAAGGGGAGCGATGTTACCGGTGTGCACGGACTGGAGAGGGGACCAGTCAGGGACAAAGCACAGCTAAAGGGAAAAAAAGAACTCAAACACAATATGTTAGGTCCAATGGTCAGCCCAATAGTACATCAGCCAAACTAAAACAAAAGAAAAGAAAATAAACCAACACACAAGTCAGTTTGCACTATGACAGAAACATAAACAACACAAAACGGGCCACGAGTACAACCTACTCGAGCCCGGTGAAGTCGATCTGGTCCATGAGGTCGTCGACCCCATCAGTCGGTGGTGGGGGTGGTCCCACCGGGTGGTCCAGCGGTGCTCCTCTGGCGGGTGACAAGACTGAAGCAGGTGCTCCTGGTACTCCATCATCCGACGGCTGTGATCCCGCTCTCGCTCGATGAGAGCACCAGTGACTCCCATCTCGGCCTTCATCCGGTCGAGGCGCTCGTCATCAACTGTCAGCCTAGACTGGTACTCGGCCTGGTGGGCCGAATACGGCTGGTAGAACTGGATCTGATGGTCCATGAGCTGCTGGTTCTGAAGTCTGAGCTGCTGGAACTGGAGCCCCATCTGCTGGAACTGCTCCGTGAAGAAGTCCATCAATGGGCCAGAAGCCATCGACGGACCAGAAGGACCGGAGGAGGACTCGCCTCTCTCTGATCTCCGTCGTGGTTGAAGGTCCCCTGGTGGAGAGAGTGGGGGCTCTGGCTCATCAACATCCATGGCCCCGCCATCATCAACATCATCATCATCCTCTTCTCCGCCGGAGTAGTCATCGTCCTCCTCGTCCTCATCGAGATCCTCATCCTCCTCAGGGGGCATGGAGAGCCCATCCACCCAGGAGCGGGTGCCATCAGTGGTCAGGAGGAGTGCATTGTGAAGCACATCCCGGTTTAGGGGAGTGGAGCCGCCCCTTGTAGAAGAATCCGTGAGGCCCGCAAAGTCGATGTCGAAGTGGCGCGCCAGGCGGGTGATCCGGGGACCGCAGAAGAGATGGTTGGGTTTCTCGTGGCACCGAGAGAAAGTGGTAGCCACGAAAGAACCCAAGTGCAACATATGCTTCGGGTACCCCATCGAGTACATGGCGTAGAGCACCCGCTTCGGGATCTTGTGCGAACCGGTGACATTGGGTACGATGGAGTGGGTGATCAGCAAGATTGAGAATATGCCACTGCGGCTTGAGGGTGCGGACGGATGTCTGGCCGGCGTCGAAGTAGTCGTACCCATAGCCGCGTCTGGCTATCTGGCGGTAGAACCCATCCTGGTTCCAGTCTGTCGGGTTTGGGACCTCGACCTCGTGGCGGGAGAAAGGGTGGTACTCGATCCCCATGGGGTAGGCCAACCCGTCGATAGTCAGCTCCCGTGGGTGGCCACCCAGCCTGAAGGTAACTGCGTAGGAGTCCCGGGCCGCCTTGGGGCGGTACTGGAAAGTGGTGTAGAATTCCCACACCAGCTCGGTGTAGGTGGGCTCCTCGATAATCATCAACGTCCGCCAATGATGGTGGCTGATGGCGGTGGAGAGCTCCTGTATGCAATGGAGCTGCTCAAATACTCTCCACTCCATATGGTGGTGGCGCTCCAGTTTCCCGCGGGTGACCTTGTGGAACTGGTCCGCGTAATCCTGGTGCAGGCGCAAGTCTTGCACGAACGGATGGTCGAGTGACATGTTCCCGCAAAATCAACAAACCAAAGGTGGAGCCAAGAACAACTTGTCAGGACCAACAGTATGGGTTCATCACTTCCCCCACACTTAAGGACCACCTAGGCTAACAGTTTAAGCATAACCGATTAAATCGCAAGTAACTCAACCACAATCAAGGCAAGAGAAAACATAACCAACCAAGTCAATCACACGGACAACACACACACAATAACCATGACCATTCATACTCAAGGCATCCCTCACCCTATCCTGATTCCATCATGCCAGGCAAACACAGTTCTCGGTCCTACAATCTATAGTTCGATTTTTCAGAAAGAGAATAGTTAACAAGAAAAACACCTAGAAACTCAAGTGGAACTGTAGACGCGACGCAAAGAAATAGGTGAGGGACGCAAAAAGGAGCAAAAAATGGCTCGGGATGCTCGCCAGAAAATTGGTCGGAAAATCCGTCGGACGGTCGTCGGAAAGTAGCCGGCGACGGGGATGACGGTGGCCGGCGGCGGAGGGCGGCGGAGGTGGCGGTCGGCGCATAAGGGGCGCGACCGGCGGCAACCAAGAGAGGAGAGATGGCAGAGGATTTGAGAGGAAGAGAGGGGAAGTTTTTGAAAAAATGAGAGGAGAGAGAGAAACACGACCGGGGGTTTGCTTAAATAGCAAAAATCCTCGGTCGGGCCTCAAAAATACCCGACCGGGGGTTATGGAAACGACGCGTTTCATGTGCTGGAAATCCCTTCCAAGGCTGGGAAATCCCCGGTCTTGAGCCAAAACTACCCGGTCGGGTATTTTTGGGTCAAGGTCGGGGATTTGCCCTTTTTCGCCCCGGAAGGCAGAAGGGGTCCCGGTCATGAGCCAAAAATACCCGGTCGGGTATTTTGGCCCACGACCAGGTATTTTACCCTTCCGGCCAAAAAGCTCATCCTCCCAATTTTTCGACCTCCCCTGCACGAAAACACCAAACCGAGGCATAATAGACAACCGAACTTCAACACAGACATGCAACTGACTCAATACGACACAAAAACACAGAAAAAGGGGAAAAAGAAATGCAAACCGTGGTGGGGTTGCCTCCCCACAAGCGCTTCTTTACCGTCTTTTAGCTGGACGCTCATGGCGGAACTAAGGGTCCGCGAGTTCCACTACCAACTCCGCACGTTCGACTCGTCCCCCAAGTAGAGCTTGAGACGATGGCCATTCACTTTAAACGGTTCAGTCTGCGGGTTGGCAATTTCAATCGTGCCATACGAGAACACCTGTGTGACCGTGAACGGTCCAGACCACCGGGAACGGAATTTCCCGGGAAAGAGCTTCAAGCGAGAGTTATAAAGGAGAACTCGACCAACCTGGAACTCTTTCAAACCTCGCAACCGTGCATCGTGCAGGCGCTTAGTGCGCTCCTTGTACAACTTGGTCCTCTCATAGGCGTGGTAACACCATTCCTCCAG